TGCAGATACATCTCATAGCATGTGATGTTCTAGGTGCTTTCAACCTCGTAGTAGACTTTCTCGATCCAATCCAATTTATCTCACGGAGTAGTCCCTCGACCCTCAGGTTTTCTGGTGGATTTACAATCAGTGGGGTACTCTTCATATGGATGTTTTTGCCACTTCCCTCAACACCAAATCTTATTTGGTCTCTGGTCCCTCGTCCACAGGTCCTGGCAGTGGATGCTGTCACTCAGAACAAGACCAACCAGTACCATTATGCCTACCCTCTTATTCAGCTTCTTCCCAGGGTGATTTTGATCATCCATTCCACTCCATGTTAGGTCCTTCTGATTACCCCTTACTGGCTGGCTCAACATTATTTTCCTCTTCTCCTTCAGCTCCAAACAACCTATTTATTACATCTTCCTCTCACTTCATCAACCTCAGTCACTGGTCCTTCATCTTGTTCTTCACATCCGTCGATTTCATGCCTGACATTTATCTAGTCCCTTGCGAGGAGATCCAGATTGTCCATGAATATGGCTTCCCTTTGAGCTCATTCTGTCCACACTTCCTCCCTTACGATTTATCCATGCAAGTGGGATGTCTTCCACCATTTGTCTTTATGCCACGAAATTTCCCTTCTAGACCCATCTCTCTTTTATTGTGTTTCTTCTAGATTAGTTTACCTCCTCATCAGGCAGTTCTTCTGGATTGGAATGTCAGTATTGTTCTTCACTCCTTTACACTTCATCTATTTGAACCTTTGGCATGCTTTTCCATGTATCACCTATCCCTTAAAACTTATTTCTCTTTTTAGTCTGTGGGCATCGTCGATCAAATATCTTTGCCATTAACTTTTCACATATTCTGTTCCATTTCACTTATGTTCTCCTTTATCAGGATTGATCTTTCCTGCCCCAAACTTCAGTGGCTTGTGAGAGAAATTCTTTATTCACACTAATTCCCCTTCCCTTCATTTCCCACATTTATTCTCGGTTAGATCCAGATGTTCTGTCCAAGCTCTTCATTGTTATATTACTTGCACAGCCTCCTCCTGTGGTTCCCAATCCTGCCTCTTCATTTTCATTCCATGGAAACTTTCTCCTTCTATCCTTAAAAGTTGGGTTCATCAGCTTATCAGACTGGCATATTCTTTCTTGTCTCCTTCTTCTTGGAATTTTTTCCTGGTGATATTGCATCAGATATGATTCCTTACATTGTCCATGGTATCTCACCTCCATCATCTGTTGAAGGAAATTCTTCATTCGGGCATGTCCCACTACCTTCATTTGGTAGCTGTTTCTTCCATGTTGGGTTACTACCTGTTGCCATACTTCAAACATTGGTTTGACTGTAACTTGATAAATTTACATTTCCTATACTCTCCTTTTGCTTACAGAGGTATGCCCCTTTTAGCTCAAGGATTCTGCTCAGTGGCAAGCATTGCCTGTCCAGTTATGCTACATATCGATACATCACAAACTCTGCACTGTATGGCCAAACTTATGTCATTCAGGGATATATTATCAGCTGCCTAGTGACTCAGTCGCTCCTCTGTGCAGTGAGTCCCAAAGGTTGATTTGGTGTGCTCTTGACTCTGCTAGTCCTGTGGTTGCTCAGAACATTACCTGGTAACCATGTGCTCCAGCTTCTGTGCAGTCCTATCCAGAGGATGATGTTGTGCAGGGTGGCCTGGCAAGGGCTGTATGGGATGTCACACCAAAGTTGGGTTTGAGTGGAGGCTGATTTCACCAATCTCAATGTATATTCATGGCCAATAACACACTGTTGAGATGGGTTGTTCCACATAACCACTAGTAGGTATTTTGCTTCAATGAACTACTCATTCCAGATCACATTAACCCACAGATTTTCATGGGTAAAGCAGAAGAGGATTGCTGCTTATCCCTGCCATTCCTTTGATTGAATAAATCAGGGGTTGCCTGCTTTTCCAAATAGGGATTTTGTGATCACCCATTACACTGTCTCCAGTGTAGGCGTTCTTCCAGACTCCCCACCATTTCACCCCCTTTTCTTCTAGTGGAGTATGGGAGTCCTTGTCAATTACCTGTTCCTAGCCACTGGGTGGTAGATCATGTAAGCAGCCTCCTGAATGTGCTAAAATCCATTCATTAGAGAGTAAAACAGTTGTGTTCTGCCAATGTAAATGATGTAGATCCTCCACATGCATCACAGTTGTATATTAAAATAGATAGAGTAGATCTGCCACATTGCAGTTCACCCCTTCATTTGAGTTACCTCATCCTACCATTGAATGGATGTTGGTTCCTAGTGGGTGTTTTTTGATTCAAGCTGGACTAATCACCATAAGTCCTCACAGATGCTGGTCATGATTCCTCTTCCTACCTTAGTCACAGGATTTTGCCTTGTGTGTTCCATCTCCATGCAATGGGTCCTCTTTCTACCATGGGTTGGAATATGTATGCCCAATACCACCTGGGTTTGGGCTGGAGTTGACCTACCAAGTATGATCTGTTGCACCCTATCCATTCTACACCAAGGGGTACGTCCATTTTAGCTTTCTACATCATCTAATATGTGGCTGGAGACACTACATTCTTTCTGTTCATGGATTATAATTCTGGAAATTTAAATGTGACATGTGGTTGACTACTCCAGATTTTTTTCTCTCATTTCTTGGATATGCTCCTAACAATTTCCATCCATTTATATGTCACTTATTACCACATTGGACAAAGAGTATATTACTGGTATTTTTGCCTGGGCAATAGAACTTCAATAATTATTTCAGGCATGGTTCAAGCCTAATGATTAAATATACAATTAAATGAATGCAATAATGTTTCTCACTCTTCCATTTTTGATACTCAATACTGTTTCAATTGCAGAAAATATTGTTGCGTCATCGAGATCATGTGATTCTCACG